ATGTCAGACTAAAGTGACTAAAATCTTACTTCGGGCCAATATCTTAAACAAACATCAAAATTTTTCGTTATTTCTTCAGGTATGGCAACCAAAATCCAACATCTGATAGACGTCATAGTGGTTTCGTCCACACAACGTCAAGCTGTAACATCATTAGATGTTGATATTTGGTTGATTTTAGGTTGTGTTGGAAAGTGACTAAAATCTTACTTCGGGCCAATATCATAAACCAACGTCAAAATGACGTTTACATTTATTTCTTCAGGTATGGCAACCAAAATCCAATGTCTGATAGACGTCATAGTGGTAACGTCCACACAACGTCAAGCTGTAACATTATTAGACGTTGATATTTGGTTGATTTTAGGTTGTGTTGGAAAGTGACTCAAACCCAATATCTAGCCAACATCTTAAACTAACATCATATTTACGTCAAATACTGACCTTTATTCGTCAGGTATGGCAACCAAAATCCAACATCTGATAGACGTCATAGTGGTTTCGTCCACACAACGTCAAGCTGTAACATCATTAGACGTTGATATTTGGTTGATTTTAGGTTGTGTTGGAAAGTGACTAAAATTTTACTTCGGGCCAATATCTTAAACGTCAAAATGATGTTTACATTTATTTCTTCGGGTATGGCAACCAAAATCCAATGTCTGATAGACATCAAAGTGGTAACATCCACACAACGTCAAGCTGTAACATCATTAGATGTTGATATTTGGTTGATTTTAGGTTGTGTTGGAAAGTGACTAAAATCTTACTTCGGGCCAATATCATAAACCAACGTCAAAATGACGTTTACATTTATTTCTTCAGGTATGGCAACCAAAATCCAATGTCTGATAGACGTCATAGTGGTAACGTCCACACAACGTCAAGCTGTAACATCATTAGACGTTGATATTTGGATGATTTTAGGTTGTGTTGGAAAGTGACTAAAATCTTACTTCGGGCCAATATCATAAACCAACGTCAAAATGACGTTTACATTTATTTCTTCAGGTATGGCAACCAAAATCCAATGTCTGATAGACGTCATAGTGGTAACGTCCACACAACGTCAAGCTGTAACATTATTAGACGTTGATATTTGGTTGATTTTAGGTTGTGTTGGAAAGTTACTAAAACCCAATATCTAGCCAACATCTTAAACTAACATCATATTTACGTCAAATACTGACCTTTATTCGTCAGGTATGGCAACCAAAATCCAACATCTGATAGACGTTATAGTGGTTTCGTCCACACAACGTCAAGCTGTAACATCATTAGACGTTGATATTTGGTTGATTTTAGGTTGTGTTGGAAAGTGACTAAAATCTTACTTCGGGCCAATATCTTAAACGTCAAAATGATGTTTACATTTATTTCTTCAGGTATGGCAACCAAAATGCAATGTCTGATAGACATCAAAGTGGTAACGTCCACACAACATCAAGCTGTAACATCATTAGATGTTGATATTTGGTTGATTTAAGGTTGTGTTAGAAGTGAGCAAAATCCAACGTCGAGCCAACATCTTAAACTAACGTCATATTGACGTCAAATACAGACATTTATTCGTCAGGTATGGCAACCAAAATCAAATATCTGATAGATGTCATAGTGGTAACGTCAACACAATGTCAAGCTGTAATATCATTAGATGTTGGTTTTAGGTTGGACATTGAGGTTGGATTCTCACGTCAATCTGATTTATATTTCCAAACAAAATGCAACATCCCCACAATGTTGGGGTACAACGTCAATCAGACATCATGTTGACATCCTGTGCCTGCTGGGATGTTTCATTTTATAAATGTAATCAAAATTCAATAATAAAAAAAAACTATGAATGATTCAGAACTGAGTGGCTTTCATTTAGGCGATTAAAGGAATAGTTCACCCAAAAACGAAAGTTAATCACTAATTCATCAGCCTTAAGTTGCTAAAAACAAAAGAAGATTTTTTAAAGAAAGTAAAAAACCTGTAACCATTGACTTTCATTCATAGTAGAAAAAAACTAATACCATGAAAAGGATATGGTTACAGGATTTTAGCTTTCTTCCAAAAAATCTTATTTTGTGTTCATCAGAGGAAAGAAACTCAACTGGTCTGGAACATTTAAAAAGTAAGTGAACTATGACAGAATATTTAATTTTTGGGCGAACTATCCCTGTACACTCTAGTTGGCACTTTCTATTAGGTATTCATGTGCTATATATTTATACTGTGATAGTTGACAAGGCATTTTATAAACAAGTTACTTTAAGGTGCTATAATTGTATTATTATCACTGAAAATAGGGGTCTCAAGAAACACACTCGTCTCTTTGTCTTGGCTTGGTAAACAGTATCAGGAGAGCAGCCAATCGGAAAACTAGCCAAACAAACAAAACCCTTTCTCTCAGTGTATGGCTTAGCACATTTGGATTGGCTGAGACCGTTTTAATGGGTGGAGTTCGGGAAATAAGGGAATGAGTGATCAGAATTAGCTTAGTTTAAGTTAGCAAAAAGCCTGCAACTGCTTGAAGCAGTTTTAAAACGAGAAATGAGCAAAACATGCAACTTTTAAAACCACTATCATATCTCTCCCAATTGATTTCTCCCTTTTACTAACTGCTTGCTAGCAACAAAAGAGCTTAATGACTGACATTTCACACATTTGTCCACTCCTCCTTTTACATAGGAGTTACAGTGCAGTTAGCATAAAAAGCTAACAATTCCCAATAGTGATTATGTGCACGTGATCAATGAGGGTTTGTGATCCTAAAAGGAAATCACATTTTATGTGTACAACAAATCGAACAAAAGTGCCTAATATCAAAAGATCAAAATATATGGGATATAAAAGAGAAATTGTAACTGTTCAACTGAAACAAGCTAAAACCACAGTACTCGACACAGCAGAAGGAATGCTAATTGGCTAGCAATTTTCATGTTTCACTACAACAGAACATGTAGCCCGTACAATTTTTGCTATTCTTTTACTTAGTTAGGAGAGAAACTAGTTTATCATCCTACCAGCAACTTGCAGTATCATCTTGTTCCTGGAGGGCCACTGTCCTGCATAGTTTAACTCTAATTAAACACACCTGAACCAAGGCAAGCCTGCAGCCATTAGCCAAGAACATAATCACTAAAGGCATGGTCACACTAGAGTTTGAGCGTGCAAAATTCTGTCGTATGGTGCTGTTAAAAGAGGCAGGATTAAACAAGACGATTAAATACTTAAAAAGCGAGCGATTCGTCAATTTTTTTTTTACATTTCTGTCCAGAGAGGTCATGTTTTGATCTTCTATTAGTCTCATGCAATCACGTGATGCGATTTCACAAGTCAGAGTTCAGCAAGCTGGAACTTTGCAAAGCAGCAAATTTGCGAAACTTGCTGCACAAGCTTGCGTTTCCGATCTGTGGTATTTGTATGCGTATGATTGGAATTCTATGGGAGAAAAAGTGCAGTGTGACAGCGGCTTAAAGCTAACACTGACTTTTTTGCGTTATGTAGGGAAGGACACCAGACCCCATGTGATTGGCTGCGAGGTGCCTCACATGATCCAATTTAGTCATCACAATTTTTACAATAGTATAATGTAACCCCGCCAGTCCTACGCCACCCAACCTGCTCCGAGCTGGTATTGAACCGGCGACTTTCCGCATGGGAGTCGGTTGCTCTAACAAGGACGCTAAAGTCTATTGCCCCTAGTGTCTGTCGCTAGAGCAACCTTAGAGGTCAGAGAAGTGAGGTTTACCTGCACAGCAATTCATTAGCTGGCCTCTGTTACACTCACTCCCCTAAACCTCACTCTCATCCGGGTCACGGCACCAATGTAACCCCACCGGTCCTACACCACCCAACCCGCTCCAAGCTGGTATCAATCTGGCGACCTTCCGCATGGGAGTGGGTTGCTCTAACAAGGAGGCCATAGACCATGGCCCCTAACTTCTATCGCTTGAGCAACTTTACAGGTCAGAGGAGTGGACCTTCCCATCTCCCAACATTAAGACATGCTGTGCTTCAGACACATTGTCGGAAGTAGAAATTTCATTAGTGAAATGTCTAACTTCTGACTTTCCAGTCGATTGTGCACACAGTTGTATTTTCAGAACATAAAACGTGAATATTTCATAACACGTCATGTTGATATGGCTAAACCAAATAGAACAAAAATGCTTGTTGTCCTTTAAAAAAAAGTAAATGCACTAAAATTTAGGTCTGCATTCCAGACCATATTGAGCGCGGGTTAATTTTTCTGTTTAATTTGAACAGGTTTGAGTGGTCAGACGATAGACTCAGCGGGAAGCTTAAAGTGAATAAATAGAGGGAGCGGAAATAAAACCCAGCTGGAGTGGGAATGAAATAACAGTCCTGCGCAGACCTTAATACTAAAAAGCGATATCATCTAAAAAATAGCCTTTACTGGTGGGGTTCCGCACATCTTTTGTGCTATAAAAATACTTAAGGGTTTATTTTTACATGTTCTGTGCCAATCTCACTGAAATAGAACTAGTCGCCATCTATAAAGTGACGTCAAATTAAGAGATTTCCTGAGGTCAGAGTTCTTGGATCTGCCCCAAGTTCACAGGTTGGATGTCAGACTTCAAGCGACATTGTAGGTCAGGGATGTCCAAACTCGGCGGAGGGTCAGTGTCCTGCATAGCTTAGCTACAACTTCCTTCAACTTCCTACATGAAAGTTTCTTGTATATCTAGAACTAGCTTAATAAGCTGGTTGAAGTGTGTCTAATTGGGGTTGGAACTAATCTCTGCAGGACACTGGCCCTTCAGGACCAAGTTGGGTATCCCTTTTCCAAATGTTATTTTAAAGTAGAAAGTAGAACAACTTTCAACAACAATCGTGGATCAGCTAATCCAGCTTTTTAGACCTGAAAAACGTTGTTGGACTTGCAGGCAAGTGAAGGAAAGTGGAAATCCAGGAGCAGGATCAGATGCCCTTGATGCATCTGCTACATTAGCACACACTGTTGAAGCTACACATCTACTTTAGCTAGCTAACCTGGCCTAGCGAGGTTTAAAAAGTAGCTCTGGGATTAGAAAATGGAGAGGGGTAAGTTCTTGATTTGATCATTTTCATACTGTGTATTGCATTTTCAGCATGGATCATCCCTACAGGTTCTGTCCACCAACACTTACCATTACAAACTTAATCTGTTGCTGCCCTTTGGATCTTTAAAGCTTCTGGCTTCCTTTAGGAACTGATCGGCTTTCCTAAGCTTCTCCATGGCTGCAGCTAGCAGCATCTCTGGGCTTGCTTCCTCCTTGTCTTCACTCTGTCCGGTCGCGATTGCATTCAGCAGCTCTCCCGTCTTTTCAATCTCAATAGACACTTTGCTTTGCAAGACCTTGAGCTCACTTCCTTGTGGTTTTCCCTTGCTTTCCATTCTCTCGGTGCTCTCAGAAAGAAGGTCTCCAAGGGATGCAGAACGACCCTTGGAGGAGGGACTGAGAGGCAAAGTGCGGGACATGGACTTGTTGGAGCATTGGTTTGGGGTTGGATGTGCACTGAGAACTGAGGTCTCTGGGGTGACGGACGGAGTTTCTAACGATGGGTCCTCCAAACTCTCGGCTTTGCTGTCAGATGGTTCTAGATCATCCTCGCTGGTCTCCAAATCTAATCCCTGGGAGCTTCCTTTGAGCTTTGTGGAGGATGGCGTAACTTGGTCACCGGTCTCAGACTCCTCTCCTGAGTGCTGTCCACTGTCTAAAGACTTCTCCTCCATTTCTTCACTTGAAACATCACCAACTGGCTCAGTTTTGTGATCTGGAATTGTCAATTTGGGATCGTCCTTTTTGAAAGACTGCTCCGAGACCTTTTTCAAAGACACATTAGAAGAATCCGAAAGGACCGGTTGGTCACCTTGGTGGGGAGTGTCCTCCTTTTTGTCTGGTGCCTTAATTGGCTTCTTCTTGGGTGGAGCAGGAGGCCCGGGACTCTTTTTAACAGATTCAGGTGTTGAACTTGGAGCTGGATTCAACTGCTGTGGTTCTGTTGTGGTTGTAACTTCTTTTGTAATATCAGAGACCTTCTTTGCGCTTTTCGCCTCTTTTTCGGCATCTTTTGATACAACTACGGGTGAGTCCCACATCACTACTTGAGGTTTCATGACTTGTTTGGAAAGAATCAAGATTTCGACTTCTTCTGGTTTGTCCTGGTCCTCTTTCTCCTTTGAAGCTCCATTGACTTTAGTACCTGCATCATCGTCAACCTCCTCGTTTTTCTCTTGGGTTTCTTTTTGGTCTGTTGTGACTGTGGCTGGTGTTACCTGTTGGTTGGGTTTCATATGTTTCGAAGGCGGAGCTGGAGGCTGGATGCCCTTGTTGGATGGGGTTGATTCAGAAGAGTCGGTGCTGTCTGCTTCAGACTCCAGAGAGATGCTAGGTTTGGACTTCTTGGATGGAGGCATCGGTGGCGTAACAATGTTCTTCTGTGGTGCAGGCTCCTCGTTTTTGGGCTCATCCTCTTTTATGCTTTCACTGGGTTTATTATCTTTTGATGGAGGCATGGGCGGCTTAACTTTCTTCTGGGGTGTGGGTTCCTCTTCAGCGTCCTCCTCCTGGATGTTGTTCAATGTTACGGCTGGTTTAGAAGTTTCAGTCTGTTTATCCCCTTCTTTATTCAAGGTATGGGTTCCATTGAGCATAGTAACCTCCCCATCAAGGTCTAGTCTCAACATTCCATCATTGGAAACATTTGCAACCTGTAAGAACACAAGCAATTGCATTTACATTTAGTCATTAAGCAGTCGCTTACAATTGTGGAGGCATTCAGCAATTCAACACAAAGAAGCAATACACAGAAGAAGTGCTAATTATACAAAGGAACTGTCAGTGTTCAGAGAATTAAAAGCTAGAGTAAGGAAGGGGGGCAATTGTTTAGTCATTCGTTCATTTTCTTTTCGGCTTAGTCCCTTTATTATTCAGGGGTCAACACAGCGGAATGAACCGCCAACTTATCCAGCATATGTTCTACGCAGCAGATGCCCTTCCAGCTGCAACTCATCACAGGGAAATACCCATACACTCTTGCATTCACACCCACACACTATGACCAATTTAGTCCACTCAATTTCCCTTTAGGTGATGCAGTGACGCAGCAGGTAGCACGTTCGCCTCACAGCAAGAAGGTCGCTAGTTCGAGCGCTAGTTCGGCTGGGTCAGTTGGAATGATTCCCAGATTAATAAAGGGACTAATGATTGATTGAATTTCCCTATACTTCATGTCTTTGGACTGTGGGGGAAACCGAAGCACCTGGAAGAAACCTACGCGAACACACAGCATGCAAACTCCACACAGAAATGCCAACTGACCCAGTCAGGGCTCGAACCAGTGACCTTCTTGCTGTATGGTGACAACAACACCTTTTTTTTTTTTTTACTTATTATGTGCTTAGGGGATCAGGGAAGAGATGGGTTTTTAGTTATAGTTTGAATGATGCCAGTGAATCAGTGATATTGATGATAAAATATATTGGTGGAATACTGTACTTAGGGATTCATAATACTAAAACTTCCCACAAAAAAATATTAATCAGGCCAACCTTTTTTATCATTGTTATATTTCTTGAAAAACAAATCTGCAAATTAGAATAATTTATGAGGAATCGTGTGAGACAAAAGACTGAAGCAATACTGCTAAAAATTCTCTTTTGACATTCCAATAAAAACAAACATAATTAATATTAATATTGAATAATTAATTAAGAAAAATGTAATAGACTGTATTCTTCAACTAACAAACACACAGTAAACAAATGCATGATCTTACTGATCCCCAAACATCTTAAAGATAGGCATGTAATCTAGGATTCCTTTAAATATTTATAAAAAAATTCAGTGGTATTGATCAATTGGATATTTAATTGTGCTTGCTGATTTCCTTTGTTTACATTTTTACATCAATTAACTTACGACTGAGTGCTTATTTAAAAGTCCATCTTTACAAATTACTGTTTGAAAAGTTTAAATGTAATCTCAGCAAAAACTCTACAATTGCATGACATTTTCCATTTATTAGTTTACTTATTAAAGGCAATAATTTAGCTTTTAGTGTTTAGATTTTTACTAGGATTTGATGATTTATATATAACTTTATATAACTATATATAACATATTTCTATTCATCACAAAACATTAATATCAGTAAATTGTATTGGTCAGAACTTTTGCATTCTCTAAAAGTGCTGTTTTTTTACACTATGAGGGAAAATTATATCATACCTCCTTCATGTGTATCCTCGTAGGTGGTCTTCTTCCACGGTTCCCTTTAGGCCGGTCCCGTGTGACATGCTCTAAAGTACTACTTTCATCAACTTTCACCTGAGATTTAAAACAAAAAGTAGCTTGATTTGACTAAAGTTATAACCATGGGCCCTATCATTCACTAGACGCAATAAGGCGCAAGATGTGTTTGACGTGATTTGGTGCTTTTTTCAGACCAGCGCAACCCACATTTTCACAAATGCGCTATTTTTTTAAATAGCAAATCCATTTGCGCCACTTTGTGGACTCATGTGTGTTTCAGTCTAAAAAGAAGGTGTGTTCAGGTGCATTGTGGCGCATTGCTATTTTGAGAAACTGAAATAGACCAGAATTTAGTAATAGTTTTGAAACAAATTGTTGTGCTTAACAAATAAAAATAAATATGTAGGCTTATGGATGTCTTTAGTCGAGTACTACGTACAACCCTGTTTCCTAAAGTAGAGTAAAAGTTAAGTAAAAATGCTGAATGGAGGAGGCTCGTTCTTTATTCTCATGCTGCAGATGGTCTGTTTAACGGTTTTCTTGCTAGTGAAGCGTTCAGTTTTTCCACCTACAAAGTCCTCCATGTAAATAGCAAATGCGCCATGGCGTGACACAACTCAAAACTTAAAGTGAATGGGAGATGAGACTCTGATTGGTTTATTCTATTAACACATCTATAACTCATTAAGAGAATAAGCACAACCCTGTTAGAGTATGTGCCAGGGCAGAAAGCATATTTTCCATCCCTAAAATAGCAAAAGTGGAATTGGACACTCCCTTAATGCTCTTGGCGCCATGCGCTTTAGACTTTGCGCCTAGATTGTTAAAATAAAGCCCCATATGTTTAAAGCAGTGTTTCCCAACCCTGTTCCTGGAGGCACACCAACAATACATATTTTGGATGTCTCCCTTATCTGACCCATTAACTTCAGGTTTTGGAGTCTCTTCTAGTGTTCTGATGTGTTGATTCAAGTGTGTTTGATTTGGGAGAGGTTGAAAATGTGAACTGTTGGTGTGCCTTCAGGAACAGGATTGGGAAGACTAGTTTAATGTATTGCTACATGCAAGTGTGTCATCGTGCTGTTACAACCCTGTTTCCTAAAGTAGAGTAAAAGTTAAGTAAAAAGAAAGTAAAGAGGCTGAATGGAGGAGGCTCGTTCTTTATCCTCGTGCTGCAGATGGTCTGTTTAATGGTTTTCTTGCTAGTGAAGCATTCAGTTTTTCCACTTACAAAGTCCTCCATGTAAACAGCAAATGCGCCATGGCGTGACACAACTGACTCTTAAAGTGAATGGGAGATGAGTCTCTGATTGGTTTATACTATAAACACACCTATAACTCATTAAGAGAATAAGTACAACCCTGTTAGACCCTGCGCCAGCGCAGAATGCATATTTTTCCATCCTTAAAATAGCAAAGGTGGAATCGGACACTCCCTTAATACTCTTGGCGCCATGCGCTTTAGACTTTGTGCCTAGATTGTTAAAATAAAGCCCCATATGTTTAAAGCAATGTTTCCCAACCCTGTTCCTGGAGGCACACCAACAATACATATTTTGGATGTCTCCCTTATCTGACCCATTAACTTCAGGTTTTGGAGTCTCTTCTAGTGTTCCTAAGAGTTGATTCAAGTGTGTTTGATTTGGGAGAGGTTGAAAATGTGTTCTGTTGGTGTGCCTTCAGGAACAGGATTGGGAAGACTAGTTAAATGTAGTGCTACATGCAAGTGTGTCATGGTGCTGGTTATGTGAACATACCTTTAAAATAATCACACTGAAAATAATGCAAGAACAATTAATATTACCTCATCAAAAACTTTGTTCTTTGCCTTATTAATTCCTTCACACAGCGCCTTGATCCAGGCCTCCTTCTCCTCAGGAGTCGGTGCCTGAAGTTTGACATCTTGAACCTAAAATAAAAACAGATGCCACTGATGAAACATTAAAAATTAAAAAGAGTTTCGTTTAGTGTTGTAGCGCTTAAGATGAGTCTTGAGGTAATTTTTAAAGGTCTTATCTTGGTATCAGCCACATTGGCATTGACCTCAACATATCACAAAATAGGCAGTGTATTATCTGATTTATCTGCTAACCAGTGTTGGGCACGCTCCTTTAAAAGTGTACTTAGTTATAATTACAAGTTACTTCTCACAAATAGTAACAGAGTTAGTAACCGAGTTACATAATTCTAAAAGTAACTAATTACCAGGAAAAGTAAATATAGTGTTAATTTAAAAAAAATCTAATTTGTCAAATGACTAGAAAATAAATATAAAACATTGTACAATAATCTCACTCTTTTGTGAGAGACAACGGCAGCATGTCCACAAATATACAGTGTATGCGTAAAGTATTCATAGCGCTTCACTTTTTCCACATTGTTTTATGTTATAGCCTAATTCCAAACTGGATTAAATTTATTTATGTCCTTGACATTTGTTGGGGAATTCATTGTGTCTTGATGAATTTCTGATGAATGTATTACTCTCATTTATATGCTTATTTGAGTGATTTCAGTATTATTATCTATTGCATTATTACCCATACCTGTGGCATTATTATCAGGTATGTGTGCTTTGGTAAATCAAAAAGTCGTTCTGTGCAAATGCAGTCAGAGATGAGAAGATAAATTAGAAGAGTAGCATTAATGTCACAATGAGGGTTGATTATGGAAGCAAGGCCAAAAGGACACCTGCGATCTGTTCGGCAACTTATGATAAAGCACACCTGCACGTGCGCCCACACTCACTTGTACTGACATCTAAAGAGTTATGAGTACCTATGAACTTCAGCTGAACTTACAGTTGACAGCTCAGTGGACAGTGAACAAGATATATTGTTAAGCATTGTTTTTTGGCTGAGTCATCACTTTTGAAACAAGAAGGATAGACCTTAACTAGACATGGGTAAGACCCCTGAAAAACCCTGAGATTTTATTGGTGGCGGGCACCTGAGAGATTTAAGATCCCATTAGCGGAGAAGCTGATGGAGGTGTGTAATTTGTAAATTTGGGCGGAGTATTAAGACACAGAAATGTATTTAAACTGTGTGTAAGCCTATGTTCGGCAGACACTCGAACGACCTGTCTCTGTTGTTATTGATGCTGTAACAATAAACAGCTTTGCCTAAAGACTTCGGAGATCTCAGACTTTGTCATTTTTTGAAAAGTTTGACTTAGAGACTTTATATACTTTATACGAATATTTTTGCAGACCAGAATCTTTTTTTCACAGCACATTATACAAACAATACCCCACAATGTAGTTCAAACAGCATCCCTAAGTATCACACATCATCAAAAACGAAACAGGAAAGTAGGACTCAATTTCTCCATAGGATGTTTGTTTTTATATCCCATTGTTCAGCTGACTTTCAGGTTTATATAACGTCCGTCGAGCATCCTGTAGACTCAGATTGAGCCTCCGAAGTGCAAAAAATACAAGTGAAGAGATTTATGCTCTTGGAGGGTGTGTCTAAAGTAGAAATAAAATAAAAAAAGTGAAGCAGGAGGGTCTGGAATCTCTACGCTCTCCACAGGACGACAGTACGTGAGGTTTCGTTATGAAATAAAACACTGCTGTGGAGTCTGACTCATTCAGCTGGCTGCTCGCCTTATTCAGGAGAGGAAAAAGTGACATGCAGATCTGGCGGCTCTTTACACACACACACACACACACACAAACACACACACACACACACACACACACACACGTTCTTCCAGAGAAGTCTCTCTTTTGACATCTGTTGAGCTCGCTGCAGTTGGCCAATGCTTTGCATTAGTAAAATCATCTGTACATCTGTTAGTAATAAAGCATATTTCTCCTCTTAGGTATCTTCCGCATTTCTGAAGACGTTTCTCCACCTACATTACTCTCTGGATTCGGTTTACAGTCAATATTCGGAATATTCTACAGAATCTGACCCACTTTGAGGACGAATAAGATGTTTTTGGTCACTTGCATAAGCTCATGGTGCAGCGTGAGAGTGTGTGTGTGTTAAAAAGTTATGACATATCATGTGCAATAGACTTTCGTTACGATGAAGTCACCATTTAACATCAATAAAAAAAAAAAGGCATTAAACGGAAGTTAAGACAGTTTTTTTTCCTCTTTTGTGACGTACATCCACTTGAAATGGTTAAGAACAACACACTTAATCCACAAATACAGTTCCTTGAACATGTACACACAGTGACATCACCTATATACTATATAACGGCAGATTAAATTTATTCATTCATTTTTTTGTCTGCTTAGTCCCTTTATTAATCCGGGGGTCGCCACAGCTGAATGAACCGACAACTTATCCAACAAGTTTTTTATGCACCGGATGCCCTTCCATCCGCAACCCATCTCTGGGAAACATCCACACACACGTTCACACACGCTCATACACTACGGACAATTTAGTTTACCCAATTCACCTGTACCGCATGTCTTTGGACTTTGGGGGAAACCGGAGCACGTGGAGGAAACCCACGCGAAGGCAGGGAGAACATACAAAACCCAACCCAGAAACACCAACTGAGCCGGGGTTCGAACCAGCGGCCTTCTTGCTGTGAGGCGACTGCACTACCTACTGCACCACTGCCTCGCCACATTAAATTATTAGTAACTAATAAAGTTATGGTAACTAATAACCCGCACTTTCCTGATGTTGATTGTAATACAATAATGTGTACCGTGTGTAAAGTTGCTTTCAAACAATAATTATTGTGAATAGCGCTATACAAATAAACTTGAATTTAATTTAACTGAACTTGATTTTGAAATTAGAAAAAAAAAGTAGGGCGATGCATGATTTTGTCCTTTGGGAACAGATTTAATTGTTGGAAGATGGGTGTTGCGAACAAAATGAAAAAATATTTACGAATGGATGAAGGCAGAGCAGAAACGAAACACGCACTGATAGCCCCGCCCCAAATGACTGATAGCTCCGCCCCAAATGACTAATAGACCCACTGTAAATGATGGATAGCTCCACCCTAATTGACTGAAAGCTCTGCCCTAAATGACTGATAGACCCATTGTAAATGACTGATAGCTCCAGCCAAATTGACTGATAGCCCTACTCTAAATGACTGATAGCTTCACACTAACTGACTGATAGCACCGCCCTAAATAACTGATAGCCCTGCCCTAAATGACTGAAAGACCCAAACCTAAAAGACTGAAAGCTCAACCCTAAATGTCTGAAAACCCCAGCCTAAATGACTGATAGCTCCGCCGTAAATGACTGCTAGACCAACCCTAAATGACTGATAGCCCCGCCCCAAATGACTGATAGCCCTGCCCTAAATGACTGATAGCCCTGCCCTAAATGACTGATAGCTCTGCCCCGAATGATAATAGCTCCACCCTAAATGACTGATAGCCCTTCCCTAAAGGACTGATAGCCCCGCCCTAAATGACTGACAGACCCACCTGAAATAACTGATAGCCCCGCCCTAAAGGACTGAAAGCTCCACCCGAAATGGCTGATAGCTCCATAGCTCTGCCCTTAAGAACTTATATTGTAGCTATGCCTTACATCAGGCCTGCCCAACCCTGTTCCTGGAGATCTACCTTCCTGGAAAGTTCAGCTCCAACCCTAATCAAACCACCAGCAGGAAGGTCGATCTCCAGGAACAGGGTTGAGCAGGATTGCCTTAACTGACTGATAGCCCCACCCTAAATGACTGATAGCCCCACCCTAAATGACTGATAGCCCCACCCTAAATGACTGATAGCCCACCCTAAGTGATAGCTCTGCCCTAAAGCCTTTCCATGTGACCAGATGTAAAGAAAAGTCATTTCGAGGGGGGAGGAAAAGTTAAGATATGTGACTTTTTTACAAATTAATAAAGTGCGCAGATATATTGTTTATAATAAGCACTACTATATAGAGTATATATTAAAAATAAATGAATAAATATATAAGAAGAGCACGTTTGGATTTCATTGCAGCTTTAATGAAAAATTTATACTTCTGCTTCAAATGATCGCCTTACTTTGCATGTAGCCTACAGGTTTGAGCATTTACAATTGTGTTTTTTGGATATTTTGATGAAAAAAGATTATTGTGGCTTTAACATTGCATCTGGGTCAGTAGCATGATGTGTTTTTCCATGTGTCTATTAATTTATTTAAAATACATTAAAAATGCAGTTCATATAAACAATGACTTTAGCACCTCTTCTATTATTAACACGCTTTCATCTTCTGAATTATAATGCATTTCTGTGGGGTGAAACCATCACAGAACAAAAGCAATCATTATTTATTTGGCCATAAGCAGCTTTATTTTGAAAAAAAAAAAAAATACATCAATAACCAATATCTACTAGTGTTGATTAAAAAAATTCTAACAATTTGGATTATTTTGTTATTTTTTATGATGATTAGAGTAGATCAGGTTGTCAAATGAGAAATAAGTAAAAACATAAAAGTTCTATAACAAACATACTAATAATACTAAAATCACTGGTATTTAAAATGCAAGAAAAAAACATTTTTATTTACTATATACACACATTATATATATATAATGATATAAAGTATAAATGAAAAAATAATTTGTAAAATATAAACTATATTATACTCATTCATTCATTCAGTTATGGCAGAAAATATAGTTTGCAAAAATGTGCAGCATTTAAGAAAAACTGAAAGGGCTCTTCATCTTAAATTTGATCAAAATAATTTTGTTAAAAAATTGTGACTAAATCGTGAATTGTAAGATTAGTATCATTAATCGTATCGAATCATAAGTCAGGTGAATCGTTACAACCCTATTCAATAGTGTATTTAAGGATGTAATTGTAGATATTAATTACAGATGTAATTACATGTAGTAGGTATTTAATCAAGCTCAAATACAATGTAAAAACATGCATTTACACAGTAAGTACACTGTAACAAATTATTATTTT